ACAATTTTTCCACTCTCTTCATTTAGAAATCTGCTTTTGGTGTGAAATAGGCTGATTTTCTCAGTGGGCTGCACACTATCACTATTGTTGCATGTTTAGCAATTCTTTTCTTTTTTTTGAAGACTGACTCCATAATTTTCTTGTTTCTCTATAGAGGCTATATGAGAAAGATATTTCTCAGGGTCAGTTTGAACTTAGAAATACCTGCAAATGTAGTTTGCCAAGCAAGTTCTGATTTTTGTGAGCCATACTTTAAAGCATTCAATGTATTGTTGTGGACTCTTAACACCATGTTCATTATACATTTTTTGAGCATTAAAGAAAGCTACAGGCAGGGCAATACAGAGGAAGTGGAGGGAGGGACACACTCTTTGAATGCATATATATTTTTTCAGGTAGGTTTTTTGGGATTTGATTGAAGAGCATTCAGTTGCAGTGAAAACTTATTTGGCTGTAGTTTGTAACTGTGCCTAAAGGACTAGAAAACCTGAGCTTCCTGGGTTTGTTCATAATGGAAACTTGGTGGTTATTGTGACTTTGGGTCAACGTCCAGAGTTCTGGCATTTCTGTGAAGAAACTTGGAAGGAAATGGCCTGCTATCCTGAGTGGAGAGCTTTATGCACGCATGACTTCTCAAAATGCTTAGCATGTGAGTAGTCCCACAAGGACACACAGGTCCTCCCTGGCATCATCCACTCTTGAGTCTTCCCACATCTCTGACAAGCACAGCACCCACACACATTCTCCCTCCTTTCACAGGGAGACTGACTGGAGTCAGTCTTAACTACTAACATGTGCAGAGCACCTTCCTTTACCAGGCACTCTTTGTTATTACTCAACTCATCCTTCACTGTCACCCTGGAACTCTCACATACTACCTTTCTCATATAAAAACATAGAGGGGAACTAGCCCATAGTCACCCTACTAGGAAGGCACAGACCCAAGGGTTGGTTCAATTCTCACTGCAGGTGCTACCAGTTCACCTCCATTTCTCTGCCACAGTGCAACACCTATGTTGTGCAGGATTTTCAGTCTCAACCCATGTATATTGTGGTATATCCTCGTTTCCCCAGCTTGGCAGCTGACCTAAGGAAAAGGATGCCCCTCTCATCGATGTAGCCTCAGGACCACTGGTTAACTTCAGAATTGAGTATGCAATAAAGCTTTTTATTCTAAAGCATTAGGAAGTCTTTCAGGACTGTCTCTGTCTTTTTTTTTTTTTTTTTGCATGTTTGCAGAGTGTTGAATTATTAACCTGCAGCATTATCCTTATATGTGCCTTCTCTCTTGTTTAATAATTATCTCCACTATCACCACCTATGACAATGGACAGTGCTCCTGAACCTCAAGTCCAGAATAGTGAGCTAATAACAAGGTGCTGTGGTCCATTAAGTGATGTTGAAGGGGCACGTAAAATTGGAATGTCCATGGTCATAGCCTTTGAAGACATTTCTTGTAGTCACAGTACTTTTGGCTCTAAAATTGCCTATTTTCCTTTGCTACATATAGAATTTGTTGAATCCCCAGTAAGACTAATTGATGAGAAGATATCTGATTAAGATAAAATGGATGAAAATGTCATTCGACACTTACTGGGCTCCAGTAACAAGCTGGGAGTTGTGCTTGAGACTGGGGGTCAAACAGTGGACTGGGCAGCCTACGTGAAATTCGCACCACAGCGGGGAAAGATGAAATAAAAAGAAAACAATCTTAACAAAGTCTTACTAATTGTGATAAGGGCGCTGGTGGGTGGGGAGGGTGGCCAGGAAAACCTCACTGAGGAGGTGACATTTTAGTGACATTTGACTGGGAGAAGATAGCTGAGCAGCTCAGAAGAATGTTCTAGGCGGAAGTAAACAGCAAATGCAAACACCCTAAGACAGACAAGACTTTGATTGAGAAGCAGGGAGGAGGTGATGCGACCAAAGGGTAAGGACTGAGGCAGGCACATGAAGGCCAGACAGCAAGGCTGTGGCCTGGGTTGGGAGTGCAATGTGATGTGGGTTTAGTAGACTATTGCAGCTGTTATATAAAGAAGAGAGTCTGGGGACTGGTAGAGAAACCAGAGATGCCATGACTGAACGTAGGATCTGTGAAATTGTACAGAGGAGGAGACTGGTATGGAATGCATTTTGAAGGTAGTGAGTTGAGAATAAACACATGTGTATGGAGAATGAGGAAGACATTCAAGGACTTCCAAGCCAAGTTCTAGGACTTGATCTTAGACCTCTGGTGGATTATTTTCAGAAGGCATAGTACATTGGACTAAATTCAAAGTATGCTAGGTGGATAAAGAATAAGTATATTTACACAATGGAATACTACTCTGCTATAAAAAAGATAAAATCCTGCCATTTACAGCAACATGCATGTACAGACCTTGAAGGCATTATGTTTCATGAAATAAGTCAGAAAAAGTCAAAGCTCATATGTGATATATACAGAAAACAGACAGCTAACATAAATGAAACTAACATAAGAAAATAAGTATACTAAGGTATGTTCCTGGTAGTGCTGAGTTCCATCTGTTGTTCTCTTTCCATACTTTTGACAATTGTTGGGGTGGGAGAGAGGGCAAGGGAGAGCTCCAGAGAGTATTGAAAGAGAAAATGGATTGAGGAAATTCTGTTTGATCGGTAACATTACCTGTGGTTTCCACAGCCGGACTAATTCACCTCCCTTTCCCCTCTCTGAAGCATGCTGGAGATTGTTCTAGCACTGGGTTATCACTGGGGTTACTCCACCTTAATAAAAGTATCTTCCACACACAATTACTTTCTGTAACACTTGAGAACCTTTCTTCTTTTTAGGGAGAGAAGAGATTAGGCTTCATGTGGAGGAGTTGATTTGCATTTTACATTTGCTTTTAACTTAGATCTTAGAATTGATTTCTTCAGGAGGCTGTGTTGGAGGCCTGATTGTGCCCTAGTAGATCAGGGAGAGGTGGCAAGTTGCATTGCCACTTGCCCTGCACAGCAGTGGGCTGCCTGGCTCACTGAGTCAGGGACCTGCCACCAGCTAGTTGCTCTTACCTTCCCCTAGTGCCCCAAGCTGGCCCTGTCCAGAGTGAGAGACTGACTACCATAAGTCTCCACTGGTGGGTTATTTCCATGTGCAGCTTCTGAGTTTCTTTTTAACCTGAGTTATCCCAGGTGGGCAGGGACTGAGCTGTCACAAATACGGCCACCTAGCCTCTTTGCTTTTAGGAGAAAATGTGAAAGTCTATCCCTGTTGCTGTGTAATGGCCTGACTATTTTTAGTTTGGGCTGCCAGAGATATAAATTGCTATTTTAGTCTGCAGCCTGGTGGTGGGTAGACAAACCTGACTTACTGCACAGCAGACTCTTAATCTTCCCTCAACCATCCCGGAACCTTGCTCTTTACACTTTAAAATTCCTCTTAGGGTATGCTACTTATAACTCTGTGTTATGTATCAGAGTAATGAGGTGGTAGATACTTGAATGCTTGGGACGCTTTGAAAGCATTCTTCCCATGAGTGTAATTATTTTCCTTTTTACTAATAAGAAGTGTATAGCAAAACTCTTGTCCCTTAGGAAATTAATAAAATTATTTAGAGAATTATCAGGGGAGAACATTTTTTTTATCTATGTTTGAGAATACCTGTGATAAATTCTGATACTGTTACACGGATGTTTCTCATAAAAGTTTCCAGGCTGTCTGGTGAATAAGTATATATTTTGCATAGTTTTTAGCTAGCTATTCCCTTGATATTTTCAAGCAAAATATCTTTGTTGTCCCCAGCTCATTCCCCAGTGGATTTCACACCCGAACTCTCTGTATTGGGTTAACAGGGACTGCAATTTTATTTATCTGATCTAAGGACAACAGGTCCTTAATTCAGAGAAAACATATTAGCAAGTCTTTAGCTCATAAGCTGGGCACTATATAGAATGTGTTTTTGCCAATTTTTGGCATCCTGACTCTGAATTTAGTTCAGCCTACTATCAGCTTTTTATCATGCTAGTTAATAAGGGGTGAATAGTCACTTCCCTGCTGCTTAACCTAGCTCTAGCAAAAGGGTACTCTCCAATGCAAAGCCAGATGCCTGCAGGCTCCAAACACAAGAATGTACACACCTCTGCACCCTCTTTGCATGCCCCCACCCTTTTTTTTTTAAATCTTCCTGATTTACTATTCTTTTCTTCCAGAGAACAGACTGACTAAACCAGAACCCCTCATGACACATGGCCTGGTTATGGGTTGGGTCTGGGGATATCAGCACCCACACATTGAAGGTCCTTTGAGCTCCTCTGGTATGCGCTTCACTCTGCTGCTGCTAGCCATGAAGTTAGCCCACAGGGAAGAGTGGAATATGGACCTAGGTCTGTATGTCCAACAAATTTTGCTGTTGAGGTGCATATACAACTTGGTGTTTGAAGCAAACTACTTCAATTTAGAGAAAGTGAAGTGTCCCTCTCATTTGAGGTGGCCTACAGATAGCCAGGTATCATTTATTTAAGATGTCTTGCCAGAAGAGGTAATGCAATATAGGTAAATAGTTGGACGGGCTTACTAGTTATGGAATGCAGGGTTTAGAAATCTCCATGTATAAAGTTTTATAAATTATGAGAGGGAAAGCAGAAACCTTTTAAACGCATTGTCTCCCTTTTCATTTAATGACATTTGTTACCAGCATTTGTAAAGTTTAGAAAAATCCCTTCTTATTTTCTGTAAAGATTTGGTTATACCATTTTAAATTTGTTACTGTAGGGGGTACCAGTTGATGTGGGTAGGTGTGGTTTTTGTTTGCTTTTGGCTGGTAGCTTTTCCTTTTGAACAAACTGAAAGAATACTTAATCCAATAAACTAGGACATTTGCTTTAAGATCCTTGCTGCTGGCTCAGTTTTCAGCAATGTAAGTGGCTTTGGTTTTGTTCCTGTAACTAGGTGTTTCCAGCAGTCAGCAACCACGGGCAGCCTTCTCCATTGTTCTCCAAAGGCTTGAGCTTTTTCTCACGTGAAGTCTTCATGTTTCCACAGGTTCATGAACCACCGGGCCCCAGCCAATGGCCGCTACAAACCCACTTGTTATGAACACGCTGCTAACTGTTACACGCATGCAGTGAGTACCAGTTCCTGTCTCTTCCGCCCTTCCCAAAGGGCTTTGGTGGAAGGAGGGGCAGTTACCTCCAGTAATCTTAGCCTGACTAACTGGATTTACCCCATCTCTGCATCATCACCTACCCAGTATCAGTGATGAGTCATCTATCTGTCTGTCTGTCAACACTGTCCATCCTGGACTTTTCCTCACAGCATCTTTTCAGTAATAATAGTCAGCACCTTAAGTGTAAGAAAACCAAAGACAATTATTTAGGAAGATTCTCACCCTGGAATAAAATTCTTTTCAGGATAATCAGCCGGGTTCCTTTGGCCAGAAGAGTTAAACAGCTGTTTGAAAAGGGTGTTGTTTTTTAACTAAACTATCTCCTTGAAGCAAGTAGGCTCGTCCCTCTCGCCACCCCATCTCATATCCATTGCTTAACAGAACAAATGTTGTTCCATATTGTTGAGAAAAAGCTGATTGGATCTCTAAATTAGTTATATAAAAAGAAACTGTCCTCATTATGAGACACTAGCACTGAAAAATATATATTAAAAAAAAAAAAAACTACCCAGAAATAAATTAATACTTGGGTATATTTCTTTTTATATGTGCTGTTTTTGAAAACATATGTATTCTCATAGTTTTCCCATTAGTTTAATATCCTTGGCATTTTCTTGTCTCATAATGTCATTATTCCCTCTGTAAGTTGCATTTAGTGAGACCTTTAAGGGAATAGCAATAAATAGTATATAGTGTGAAGACAAGAAATAGAGGTTGCCAATTTACTCCTTTAGTAAAAAGTGTTTTAGCTCTTTGAACAAGCTCATTTAAGAATTTTAGGTAATGTCAATGTGATATATGGTGATATACATACATCATTAGAATAAATTTGCTTGGATTCAAGTTCTTGCTTTGTCATTTCTGTAACCCCCTCCCTCAAAGAACAGTTACAGTGTTTTCTGTAAAGGAAACAGGATGCTAAATAAATAAAGTAGTTTTCAATGGCTCTCTTTACAATCTAAGAACAGTGCCTTTTGGTCATTATTCATATAGATATAACTTTATAAAACATCTGTTTTATGTATTATAATAGTAGAATTCACCAATTACTTGGTGAACACATTACCTTCATTTATAACTGAATATCCTTTTTCCTTAGTGTTAATAAGATTTTTATTTAAATAGTTAGCATCCTGAAATCTTGCAAAAAAGTTTTTCTTTAGAGAAAAAATTAATACCAGGCATGCTTGTCCTGGATTCTATAAAAGGGCTTTAGTAATGAAATTTGGAGTACCTTCTCTAGTGGACAGTCTCTATGGCCTCCTGGCATAGATTCTGGGCACAGGACTTAGTATAATTTTTTACACTGAGCTGGTGGGGGCCTTTCCTTAATGACAGGTTCATGTGAAGTGAGCTTCATAGCACCACAGGGTCAAAATGTTTAGAAGCCAAATTTGGTTTTAAAAGATTGCACAGCCTAATTTGTTCCTCTGCTATAACTGCCTGGATATCTACCTTTTCTTCTTGACTAAATGCTTGATAAATTTAGCAAAGCCAAAAGTAAAATTACCTTGAAGATAATTGTCCACAGGCTCTTAAGCAAATAATGTGTGCTTTAAGTCTGGGTCAGGATTAAGATATAAGGAATATAAACTTTGAATAACAATTAGTTGACCTGACCTGTTCTTTCACTCAGTGATTAAATATTCATTGATTTTCTCCTTTTATCAACAGCAAAAAACCAGTAAAAGTTATGGAAATAGTGCTTTGACCGTTTCCATTCTGCTGACCAATAGGAGCAATCAGTGAAATGTTTATTCCTTGGTATGCATAATATAGAGCACTTGAATATGATGGTTTGGCTATTAAAGATGTACAGTTCACCTTTAAGAATAAGATTGGGGCCTTCCCTGATGACACAGTGGGTTAAAGCACACCACTATGAAGCTGTCCAAGGCTACTGCAGCTCAAGTTTGATCCCAGCCAGGGAGGTGACCCACTTGGCACAGCAGACCTCTCCTGGCCTGCCCACTGCTCCCCTCAGCAATGTATTTCAGTCAGTCTGCCTGTTCTACTTCCCGCTCTGTCTCTGGTAAAACCTCTCACTCCCTGCACATCTGGACAGTACCCCAGTTCTTGTATGCATAAATAAATAAATCATAAATAAATAAATCTTTAGAATAAAAAAAAAGAAAAAGACTTGCTTGAGATAGACCTGAGTAATCCCTTAATTTGTCACTTCTTTATATGTCAGAAAGAATACTTGCATGCTCCAAAGTTCAGGAAAAACTGATGAAATCTCCATGTTAATTTTTACAAAAGAAAATATTAGCTTATGAAATGCTGTCCCTGATCTTTGGGTTTGAGAGACCAGTAAAATTTCTAAAACAGACCAAACATAAACTTCTGTCATCATTTTCATTAAAGAGAAGATATTTTTACATGAAAAACAAGTAGAAAGGATATACACTTTAAAAAACTAGACTCTTGGCCTTCCCTGTTGACACAGTGGGTTAAAGTACTGCGCTGAGAAGCTTAAGCCACTTCCTCATGAGTTCGATCCCCGCCTGCCCTGGAGGAGATCCACATGGCGTGGCAGACCTCTCCTGACCCACCCATACTCCCCTTAGCAGTGTACTTTCTCGATCTGCCTGTTCTGCTCCCCACTCTGTCCCTGGTGAATCCTCTCTGGCCTGTACCCTAGCTCCATATGAATAGATAAATAAATCTTTAAAAAAAAAAAAAACTAGACTTTTTTTTGAGTAACTTACTTGTCCTTAATTTTCTCATTTTGTTCTGGCAGTAAAAACTTTAGCATTTGGAAATTCAATGCTGATGATATCTGGGGGATTAATAATCTGTCCAAGAAGGTAAAAGTAGCTGGAGGGGGGAGGGGAGGATGAAGATTGCTAAAGCTTGCCTTTCTTGCCAGGTTCTGATTATATTCTGATACATGATAAAACAGTTTATTTCTCCTGAGATTTTCTGTTATTATGATACATTAGCTAGTCATCGTCACAGACAGGGCTGGACACTGAAATTTGTATAAAATAGGTACAGAAAATGGCCCTCCCTGGTGGCGCAGCGGGTTAAAGCACTTCACTAAGAAGCTTAAGCCACTTCCCCATGAGTTCGATCCCCGCCTGCCCCGGAGGTGACCATATGTTGTGGCAGACCTCTCCTGACCCGCTCACTGCTCCCCTCAGCAGTGTACTTCGTTGACCTGCCTGTTCTGCTCCCCACTCTGTCTCTGGTGAATCCTCTCACCCTCCTCATCTCTGACCTGTACCCCAGTTCTATATGAATAACTAAATCTTTAAAAAAAATAGGTACAGAAAAATAAAATAGGTACAGAACATAGGAATCTTAAATTGTTTGAATCAGTTAGAGTGAATTAACTTTGCTTACTTAAAGGTGCTATTAAAATAAAAATCATCCCAAACCTGTTCATTCTATAGTAGCTTCTCAATTGGTGGGATATACAGATCCAAGCTTAAACTCAGGGCACATGATTTAAACAATTCATTTGTCTGCGTGGCATATACATTGTAATACTTAAATTGTCTTGATTCACTGCATTACTTTTGGCTAAAATATTGAGATTTCAGTAGCTCATGGAGAACACCAAAAATACTTAAAAATCAGAACCTGAATAACTCTTTCAACCCCCTCAGTGGGAAATCTCAGTATCCGCTTGGTCTAGCTACTTAAGTACCTAGCTCCCTAAATCACATTAAAGAACAGGGTGAGACCTGTTCTTACTTAATTAAGTTTTGATAAAGAACTTCTGCTTTGTAACTGGCAAGTAGTGTCAGCTCCTTTTCTGGAATTAGTGGGCACAGCTCCTGGGCCATGAACAGCACTGACAGCTTCCTCTGGTTCTCCTTATGATCATCCAGGAAAGGCAAAGGTTTGTTTTTAAATTACCATTCTCAAAGTGTTCCTGATAAACTTATTTATTTTTAATAAAGGTCTTACTTCAACAAAACCCAGGACATTTACACTCCTCTCCCTTGCCCGCAGTTCCTCATTGTTCCGGCCTTCGTGGGCAGTGTCTTCCTCCACTGGCTGTCCGATGACCGCTGGGAGAAGATAACAGCATGGATTTATGGAGTGGGCCTCTGTGCCCTCTTCATCGTCTCCACGGTGTTTCACATTGTGTCATGGAAAAAGAGCCACCTCAGGTCAGCACTTTTGACATGCTCTTTAACAATCAGAGCAGTTGACATCAGGTCCTGCTACACTGAGCAGGAGAGGAGACATTGTCCTGCTTGTACACTGTAATGCTGTCCCATTATGCAGAAATTTGCTGTGGACTGGACAGAGTTTGAGTCTCTCACATGTATCGCACGCTTTGACTCAGAACTGCAAAAAAAGCATGCCGCTTCCCAGAACTCACAACATAGAGTCCTGAAACCTGTTTCCCAGAGCTGTCACACACACTGAGCGTACTCCCGGCAGACATGGTAGCTGTGGGTAGTGGCAGCGAGCTCTGTGCTCGGATTTAGCAATTGAGCTTTAAGTCCAGCTCTGTCACTTAGCATTGAGTGACTCACTTGACCTCATGGAGCCTCAGTTTTTTCATCACTGAAATGAGAATGACAGTGCCTGACTCACAGGGTGATTGAAACCGTGCATGTGAAAATGACTTGCAAATGACAGAGGTTTGAGGACTGTGATGTAAGGCTTACTACAGCTTGGGCTCACTGTCGTAACAAAATTCAAAATTGGGTGCTGTGCGTCTGTTGAAATAAAACTCACATATTTGGTTCCTGTTATGTGTCAAGCACTTTCCAAACAGTGCTATGGGCACCCAGCAAGGACTTGAAAGTTCTCCTCCGAGTGAAGAATTAGCTTGGGCAATACAAAGAGACCAGCTTATGAAATAGATTTTGCACAACTCCAAAGGACAAAATTTCTTCTCAAAAAAAAGATTCAGACCTTACATTTAAAATATACTAAAATACAGCTTTTGGTTTTATAGAATACACTCTCTAATCTCACATTATTCAAACTATCTAGTATCAATATTCTAACAGTCATCTAACCTAATGGAAAGACATGCTTTATTGAAGACTAGGATTTGGGGTTGTAAGATGGTTACAGATGTCCTCATAGGTTTAGTGATGGCATATTAGCACTGTTTAGTTGTCACCTGGGAAAGCTTAGGCTCAGAGAAGCTACCAGACTGGGATACCAGCAGGATACCAACAGGAACTGATCTTCCCAGGACCTCTGGCTTTAGTCTGTGTTCCTTGCACAGCACCCTTCATGACAATGCTGATAATTTATAATCTGCCACCTTCCCCTATAAGGTCACACTTTACTGGGCTTAAAATAAAGCCATGGCATCAAATCATGTGCGTGTTCTGGGCCACAGTTGACAGCTTCATGCTGCCCTGCTCCCCAGAATGCGCATGGCAGAGCCCAGGGGCCAGGACACTTCATTACCTCCCTGGCACAGTTCCGTACTGTGGTTGCCTACTGACTTGGCCTGGATGCCTGGACATCTGAATCAATAAAGAGTTGTAGATGCCTACTACAGTATTCAGGGACTCCCTGCCAGCGCCCAGAAAGAAGGTGTAGTAAAAAACTAGACTTAATTGAGTCTTGAGATCGTGCCTCTAGGATGAGAAGGCACGTGTGGAATTGGATTTTTACTCTGTATTAAAGTTTTTAAGTATGCAGATAACCTTAATTTAAATAAAAGCGGGATAGGAAAGCCTTTATTGAGTCCCTACCACACCTCCGTTGTAGAGATGTTACTGTTCCCATTTTACCCATGAGGAAAGTGAAGGTTCGAGAGGTGGGTGGCGGGTCTTAAGTAAAATTGTATGTCTAATTTTACCTTTGTGCATTTACTATCACAGTCTAACTGAATTGGAGTCTCCAGACCTGACTAGGAATCACAATCTTCCATTAAAAAAAGAAAATTCTCTTTTTCCTTCTGTTCTCTAGCCTGTTTTGAGCCCTTCTCCATTGCTTTTTCAAACAATGGTGTGCATTATTTTCACTTTTTTACATCTTTAATTTTTGATCAGTATCTGATTTCTCCCCTCCAGTGTGGGTGCCATAGTTCAGTTCACATGACAACACTAAAAAGGACTAAAACACCCTTAATCTGTTTGGGTCCACACTGTGTGCATAGTGAAGCAAAGCTGGATACTAGTGCTCCTGCAGGTCATGGCTACCACTGCGTGGACACTGAGAATGTTCAAGATGATGCAATGCCTTTTTACCCTGAAATTGGCAAATTAATTCATAGAGTAGCTGCGTGACTTTAAAGGCCAACTGGTGGATGCCGTGAGAAGTTAGAACAAAAATGGAAATTTTAGCACAGAGGTGTGATAGCCCATCTTTGCAGTCTGGACATCTTCTAAAATGATTTGACTTGTTTTTCCCCCAGAACCATGGAGCACTATTTTCACATGTGTGACAGAATGGTGATCTATTTCTTCATTGCTGCTTCTTACGCGCCGTGGTAAGAAACAGTCTTTCTCTTTTAGACAGTAGTATTTTTAGGATTAGAATTCCTCAGTCTTCTCCCCTCTCTTCTACCCCTAGGCCCTATGCCTGTACCCCACTTCATCTCCCAGCACCTATCTACACACACTTTTCTCCTACCTTCACTTACTTGGCTTAGATTGTGGATTTGAGGGGAATATTGTGGCTCTTCAGAACACTTACCTGGCATAGAATGTTTCGAAAGAAGAGCTGAGAACGAGTGTGGGGGTTGCATGCCCACTTTTGACATAAGCTATGCTGCCTGCCTTCTCGCTGCATATTCTGCACTTGTTTAGACTACTCGCACATCTAAATGTACGTATGTGTGTGGAGAACAAACACCTTTGAAATGTATGCCATTTGTCATCAGTTGATAGCACCATGGCATTTCTCATTCCTTGAGCTTATCTGAGTAAAGAAACTGGCCAACTTAATTAACCATTTAAACTTTCTAGTGCTCATTTCTTTGATCTGCCTCCTCTTTTGGTATTGCTCAGCTGAAACCCACAATTAAAGAAACATTATTTTTCCCTTATTAAGATGTGGTGCAGTATTAAACACTCAGAAATTCATATCATGCCATCAACTACAGTTGTCATGAGCAAGTATGGGACTCTGGATTCTAATCAAGATAGCATCCAGCCTTAGTCAATTCTAGGAAACCTATTATCTGTTGGAGTAAAAAGTCAAGTGCTGTCGGTCCCCAACAGCTGTTGCTAAATTACAGGCCTGCATCATATTAGAAAATCCTCAAAGGCTTTTGTAAAGTATATTTCAATTTACAAGAAGTAGGTAGATTTTAAATGCAGGCTGAAGAATCAGACATCCAGCACCAGTTTTTCACACGTAGTCTGTGATACACAGATGGTATCTTTCAATTTGTAAATAATAATTTTGTAGAAATAGCCAATTAGGAAAGCATTCTTTTCCTGATCTCTATTCTTAAAATTAAATTAGTACAGATGAATTTGCAACATTTTAAACTTCAGGCTGTACAAGAGGCCACACTTACACGTTGGAAAAATTCTCCTCATGTTCTCCCTTAGCAGAAAGATCTGTAACCGAGACACTTGGTCTGTGTATTGGACACTTGCTGCAGTGTGAGATCCCAGTGCAGGATTTTGTTCAGGATTCTCATTAAGCTTTGTAAGCATTCTGCTCCCAAATATGTTGTCAGAATCTGAGGCAAGCAGCCTTCACTGCAGTCTGCCTAATAAGGAAGTCAGGCACCACAGGTTGCCTTTTAGCTGGTTCTATTTTTAAATCATGTCAGAACAAATTCTATGTCTTAAAGCTTGACTGACAATTTTGTCTTGGAGTTACTAATTCCACTCAGATTACCCAGATACCTTCATAGCCTGTTGAAATTATAACATAGTGGGCTGATAAGCTCTCTCTTCCTTGTCTTAGCCTAGTACTTGATTTCCCAGTTTTCAGTGATTAGAGGAAAACATAGGCTCTGTGAATTCCTTTCATTTATCATTTATGTGTTTTTATTGTCATGTTTACATTTTTAGGTTAAATCTCCGTGAACTTGGACCCCTGGCATCTCATATGCGTTGGTTTATCTGGCTCATGGCAGCTGGAGGAACCATTTATGTATTTCTCTACCATGAAAAGTAAGAGAAAATAATTTACATTTGATATTAGATGCCTAAATTTTATCTACATTACAACACAATTTACTTTGTATTTGTACTTCAAAATAGTAGAAATACATAAACAGAATATATATTGTTTTTACAAATCTTTGAAACCATTTGGCCTTCACTATTGATGAGCAGGCAGACAACATTTTAGAGTTAGCTGGACCTTAATTCGTATCTTATTGAGACTAGCCTTATCCTCTGTGATAAATAGTTGTCACAAAAGAGATGACAAGATTTCAACAGAGATGACAATAATAGGCATAAAATATGCAACATAGTACTTACTTCAAGAAGAACCTAGTTAGGATGTTTCAAACAACGATGCTTAAGAAAGGACATTAGGAAGGGCATCTAAACTCTCAACGTCCTAACCCTGGGCACAATTGTTAAACCATTGTTCATAGTTCATAGTCAGGAGCGTTAAGCAATATAAAAATAAAAACTTTCTGAAATTTAGCTTCTTAGCACTAGAGGAGACCTTCAAAGTCATCTATTCAGCCTCACGCTTAAAAAATGAGAACATTCAGGACGTGCATCAAATTAGTGACTCATCTGGAATTAAGACCGAAGTGCCCTACTTGCTACTCTGTCTTTCATCTGTCTGAATTGGAGAAATTCACAACCATAAAATCATTGCCAGTTTATTAAATTCTCTATCTATTGTTATTGGTAGAATGACTCCCAGAGTTGAATATAATTTGTTTTTACCACAAGGTATTATATTGTTTCCCCTTTTCAGAAGAAAATGGTAGTTCTATTAACTTCTTACTGATTTTGAATTCACTTTACTGCATTTTTTACTATAACTGGCAATTCTGAGCAGTGTTGCACAGTATTTATAAATCCAAAGGAGTAGCTTCTTTCTTAGGCTCAAATTTCTAACTTACATCCTTGGATAAAATGGGAAGTAAAATAAAGAAACTGCTGCTTACCCTGTTCTCTGCCCTCTGATGTTAGTCCTTTCTTCCCTAGTTCCATGGTGGACTTTTAATCTAGAACACTAAGAATGAGATGCTAGACCCTTGGTGTTTCAGTCTAGCAGACATTAGGGAGTAACAAAATTGTGCCAGGTAGTGTTCTAGGCCTGCAGCTTCAAACACAGATAAAACTTATTCCTACTTTTGAAGAACTTAAAGACTCTAGAATCACTAGACAGAAATATAAACAGAAGCTCAATACAGTATGTTTCTTAGCATTTCAAAGATGTAAAACCAAGAGCCAAAACAAAAAAAATACATGTCCTTCTGTCCTTAGCCTCCTCTCCCCTTGCCACTGACAAACCAGGCTTCAAGCTGAATTCTCTCCACCTCCATAATTTCAGTTCCCTTTAGCTGTGGATTAAATGACAATGAAGGCGAACACTCTGATTGGAAAGGGGATATCTTGGTGAATTGGATTCAATAATTACTGTTAGCAGAAAACACTTTCCAGGTAGCCTGTGGTGTTTGATGCTTTTTTAATCCTGAAAGAAATGCTAGTTCATTGTTACTCAACTACAGTATTTTAATTAGAGGCCTCATGGTCTCCTACTGGGAAAATACATTTTTATTTGAATAGTTAAGAATGTAGGCTTCTTTTTCAAAGGGAAAACTGGTGTGGGAATGGACTAAGTTTTGTAGAAATAAATTAATTTCATTGCATTTTTATCCTGCAGGTATAAGGTAGTCGAGCTCTTTTTCTATCTCACTATGGGGTTTTCTCCAGCTTTGGTGGTGACATCAATGGTAAGAAGTGGCTTCATAATTTCTATTATTTCACCTTATTTTTTGCCTTTTAAATCATTAGGTTCTTAATCTGACTTTAGATATCATAAATAGATATAGCTTTTCAACATATTATAACCATAGCTTTTTTTCATATGACACTTTGACATGTCCATTAATTAGACTCTTAGAAATATATGTGACAAAGTACCAGCCACTGTGTATAGCTGTACCAGCTACTATGTATAGTTTGGAAAAGCTGTGCATTAGGTTATATCTTTGCATTTGGTAAGCTTCTGTGTTTTTCTTTTGGATCACCTTTCTGTTGCCCTCTTTTGTTCCCAAGGGGTCTGAGATCATATGAAGTTAGGAATTTCTGCTTGAATTACTTAGTGTCTTAACCCCGAACCCATGAGAGAGGATACATTTTGAGGTCTCTTAATGTGAACAAATTATAAATTACCAACTGTTAAAATCTTAAGAATTAGAAGGGCTTAAAAGGTCATTTGGTTCCACAATTCATTTGATGTTTCATCAATCCTTTTTTTGAGTCATACTATTTCTTTTTCTCAGGTAGTTACATTTTTGAAAAAAAAATCAAACAGCCACGTCATGACCACCTCGTCATCCCATCTGACTGGTTTTTCGTATCTTTAGTTTTTGTCCTCTCTGTCTTACACCCTACATTTTTGGGGGGAGAAAGTAGACCAGTTGCCCCCAACAGAATTTAAAATCAAGCAGGAATATTACAATTGATAGTAAAAGGAAGACTGTAATGAAGTTGTGTCATATCTTTGAAAAAAGGGCAGTCTTATATAGGTATACTTGAAAAAAGGACCAGAGGAAATGTACATAGATTAGGAGAGACACACAGGAGCCAGGAGCTGGAAGGGGTGTTGCAGCGGTAAAGGAAGAGAAAAGAGCACAACAGAAGCCCTAGGGAATAGGGAAGCCCATTTCTTTGAAGAACTGAAAACAGTTCATTTTGGAGTATGTATCAGTACATGATGGAGTAATTGTGCAGTTAGTTTGAGTCATGTGAGAATGTTAGACTAATTCTGGACCAAAAAGAACCTCAGTAAGCCATCTGAACTAATAGTCTGAGAGAAGACTCAAAGGTTTAATTCTGGTCAGAATAATGGGTATCAGACTTACTCTTCTGCCACATGGAATTCAAACTGGAAAAACGACTTTTTTTAGCATTGGACAGACAGTGATCCTAGAGGGAAGAGAAACAAAAATATGGGCTTCAAATTCACCCCCTCCCATTGTCTCCCTGTGCACATCGCAACAAAAGAAAGTAGAGCCAGGGAGCAGCAGTCTGGGTAGAGACAACATTTCGGCTATTGAGACAGCTGCAATTTGGGGATAGGGTACCGGAGAGGACGAGCTGCATGAGAAATGAGTCCAGAAATCTACAGAGGGATTTCCTTTAGTCCTTGCCTAGAGCCTGCATGCCTTAGCCAAGCTAAGCTATTGGAAAGCTATGAGATAAACATCAATTCTAGAAGGTACCTACAGCTAGAGTGGAAAGACCATGTGGAACAATACCCCATGTCAACTGGGGTATTCAATTGACCCCAGCAAGGCCATACCTTAGGAGAAGAGCTGTTTTAGCCCTAGAGTGAGGACTGCTCTCAACCTACTGTTCAAAGCCCAGAAACAAACTTGAAGAGAATAAAATTGATCTGCCAGAAAATCAACTGTCCCTCACAGCATATCTCAACATTCATTACTCTCTAATAACTTGGCGTCACTATCCAAACAATTGCTGCTATATAAACAAACAGCAGGAAAATGTGTCATGGCCTACCTGGGGGAGCAGGTCAGTAGAAACAGACAGAGAAGGCAGGTGCTGAAGTTAGTGTTCAGGGCTTTACAACCATCATGAGTAACCAAAGGAGGAATCTCGGAAAAGACAGGGAACTATAACAAAGAAGTCACTTGGAATTCTAGATCTAAAAGCTCTATGTTAAGAGAAGTTTATTGGATGTGACTTAAAAATAGATTGTATACTACAGAAGAAAAGATCATGAACAAACTGCAGACAGGGAGAAGATATCTGTTTTTTTTGTATGTGTCTGACAAGGGTCACACATAATATATAGAACACCAAATCAATAACTGACCAGTTCTATAAAAATGGACAAAATACTTGAAAAGACACTTCACAGAGATACACAAGATTCCAGGAAGCTCTTGAAAAAGTGTTCAACATCATTAATCATCAGAGAAAATCAGGGAAATAAACTTTCTACAATAATATGTGAATTTTATTCATAATAGGCCCCAAGTGGAAATAATTGATAAAATTATATGAAATACATCTGAGTAATAGGAACTGATGACTGATAATACCTAAGCACATGCACAAATCTCAAAAACATCATATTAAGCAAAAACAGAAGCCAGACACAAAAATGTGCATCCAGCATAATTCCATTTATGTGGCATTCTAGAACAGATAGACTTCTTCTGTGGTAATATGTAAGAACAAGGGTTGCCTTGGTGGAAGGGGTTGTCCAGCATTGGGAAAGAACTTTCTGGGGTTACACAGGCATGTGCATCTACCATAACGCATGCTGTTCATTCAGATCTATGCAACACACTGTCAACTATCAGTTTTCTTAAATGACCTTCCCCCATCCCTCAAAAAAAAAAAAAATGTAAATTCACATACCAGACCACAATGGTTGAAATCCTGATTCTAACACATGAAAGGTATTTGACCTTAGGCAAAACCCTTCACTTCTCTCTGATTTTTTTTCTCAGGGATAAAGGTAGATAATAGTGCCTAGTTTAGGGAAATGCTTCCATTAGTGCCTGGTACATAGTATCACAATAATGACCCTGATCATGAAGGAAACTTAGTGTGTTATTTGCTGTAGGATTAACAATGTTTGGTTTTTTTTTGAAAGTTGCTAAGGTTAATACATTTTAAAGAACCATTAACAGGATTTATGTTGAGACCAGTCTGTGTGTTTGGTTTGTGTTCTTGCTTATTGTTTTAGCAGAAAGGAGAGTGGCTTCCTTTGGGGCAGTGACTGGCTATACGTTGCTCAGGATACTGCGTTTTTCTGGTCTTACTCTTTACCTCTTATTGTTTCCATAATAAGGATGTAGTGATAGATGAAGAACTACTACCCTTTGGGAGCCATGTGCCTCTCTGAGAGAGCCTTAGTCTAGAAAATTCTAGCTTCTAGGAAAATGTTCCTAAAGCACATCTGCACATTTCTTGTTTAGTTAATGGATATTAAATGCTTACAACCTTTAGGAAGTCATGCACGTGTGCTTAACTTTTTAAATAAAAATAAGCCTGGCTGCTGTCCCATCTTACCTGGGCTACTGAGAAATCTGCGTCAGTCAATTTGAGTTGGCTTCTTGTGGGACCATTTGATCCTGCAGCAGCCATGGGCTTATGTGAACTTTGAAGAAAGTTCTGATTTTCATTTCCCAGCCTCACTCCAGGTTCATCGCTTGTCACTGCAGTTGCTTTGCCCTAGGTCTGAGGGGCCCCTTCAAGTGGCGACTGATTAAGGCTTCAGATTTGGCCATAGGAACCTGCAGCAGGGCCCGCCTATCCCCATCTGTCACTTCCCAGGTGTCTGGGACCCCCCCACACACACACACTTGTTCCCTTCTGAGGCCTGGTCACTATGTGCTTAGGTTCCCACCCACACTATTGAACCAGAGACCTTTCTGTTCTGAGTCCCCAAAAAATCAAGGGGGGCTACTTGTTTCTTCATAGCTTCCTAAACATAGTCACTGTTCTTTTCCCCTCTCACTGATTAATTAAAATCCAGTTTAATTAAAAACCAAGGCCTTTGAAAAGCAAGCATAGCCAAAATATTCTCCTTTTTGTGCAAACATACACACAACTGTTAACTTCCCACTCAGCTAAGAAATGCCCAGACTGAAAGACCAAAAAGTTGGCAACCTCTAGAAGGTCAGGAAAAATAGGTTGGACTGTGTGAGCTCTGATCTTAGAGGTCAAACATCTAACTATGGTTTTTCTGCGTCAGCCATAAGGGAGCCCTATACTCTCACAGGCAGAGGAAGTCTCGAAAAAGAAATCAGTGTAGCACAGTGTTTGAGGAGTACAAAGGGAAGTGAAGACTCGGGCTGAGGATGTAAATTATAAATGGAGTGGCGTGGGTGTGCCTTGGGAGGAAAGAAAGCTTTTAAAGGGGAAGATGAAAGCCAAAGATTGTACTTTATTAAAATGAGCTACTGTGTTGGGGAGCAACTGTGGTCTGCTCGAACATGCTACGGGTGAGCAAGCATGCTGCTTTTTTATTGTGGGACCGTGACCTCACTGCTTGGCTGAATCAACACTGTCAAGCCAAAGGGAACCCAGATCAAAGTCTAGTTGATATTTACAGATAGGGGTTCTGCCCGGCACAGCTTCTCCATTGTCTAGAACACCTGGGGGCTTTAAGGGGAATGACAGTTGTCTCTAGTTTGTCACATTGGTGTAACATCAAAACCTTTTTATATTTTTCCTGTTAACAGAATAACACCGATGGACTTTACGAACTTGCCTATGGGGGCTTAATTTATTGCCTGGGAGTTGTGTTCTTCAAGAGCGATGGCATCATCCCATTTGCCCATGCCATCTGGCATCTGTTTGTGGCCACGGCAGCTGCGGTGCATTACTATGCCATTTGGAAATATCTTTACCGAACTCCTACAGATTTTATGCGACATTTATGACCCTTCTGTACTAGGTCTCCAAGCCAGTATTATTTTAATTGTGGCACTTGGGAGTGGGGTAAGAGCAGAAAATTGCATAGAGGAAAAAAAAAGAAGACAACTGCACTGACTTTCTTTATATCTTTTGAATATAATTACTGTGAAAGTATAAAAGCTGTGTTTGGAATTGTCCCGCTCATAGCAGATTAATAAGGTAGTGAATTAATTATTCATTTCCATTCCACTATCATGATGGACTCTGGATAGACTTGGCCAACTGATGTTTACAAACCAGAATTTTGTATTTTAATTTTACAGATTTTACTACATGATTTTTCTAAATTACTAGGTCAGGTTGTAAAAGTCAGTGCAATCACAAAGCTTCCTTTTTAGGAGAAAATTATTTCTATCACTTTCCCATTAGTTGTGTAAAGAATCATGGGCAGAACTTACACACTTTTACCATGTTTCATCTTAACACAACGTGGTTATTTTTTAAATAGAAACTTTAGTTTTTGTAAATTTTTAATACCTATTTCATTGAAGCGCATCTCTGAGGTTCCTCATTCATGTGAATTTTTGCAGCAAGCTGTCAACATTCCACAAACATTATACCTCTTCTGATTGTCTTATTAAGTATAGAGAAGTTGCCAATTTTTAAAAACTACAGTTTTCAAAACTTTTCTGCCAACCTCTGACTCTGAATTCTGTGCTGCTTTGGGTCGTACACTTGACCTAGTCTGGTTTACCAGTGATGGAAAAGTATTTTGATATCGTTCACTTTTTCAGAAGATTCTACTTTTTCTCTATGCCTTCGCCAAGTTTTCTTCAGAACCTCTTTCAGCAGTGGACGAGCATTCATGTCTGTATTTCGATAGGATGTTTGTGTTGGCCACCCACTGCCGACGCCTGAAGAGAGCTGTGCGTTCCAGTGACCCGTGCTGTCGCCTGTTTGCAGCCCGATGGCTAAGTTCTTGTCACTTAGTGCTTTTTTTTTATTTGATATTCATTTTCCATTGTGGAATTAGATGCATAAATTCACATTTCTACCTTTCCTCTGCCTCCCCTCCTAGACTTGGCTTTTTATCATAGAAAACTATTTAAATCATCGCTTGACAGATAGAAACTCATGCATCTGTAGTCCATAGATCACCTACTGGCTCAGTGGCATGGTATTTAATATATTATTTTTGGTTGTCCCTCAGTGTCTTATATTAAGATTAACATTACTTTCTTTGTTAACTCCTTTCCCCTGGTCTTTTAATAAATGAAATAACCTTGCCTTTATCTAGCTTGAGTGCCCACATCATCTGTTTTCTTAGCAATGGGCTTGATCATCAGAATTGCTGATTTGACAACACACGTGGGCTTACTGAAGTTTTATACTAATGTAGCTTTAAAGGAGGGTTTAGTGTGTGTGTGTGTGTGTGTATGTTAAGGAGTCTGATTTTGGCGAATTGGCTTGGGAACGAGGGACAGAAGAATTGGCATCTGCTGGTGAATTCTTAAACAGGGGGCTGTGCCCAAGACAGCATCCACCAGTCACCTGCCCGCATGCTCCTGACCACCTGGGTATGTGTTGTGTGCTGTGTGTGTTTCATTTTTTAATATATTAAAATTTTGTGGATTCATTTGAAGTCTTCTCAAAAGTAACCCTGTCAAAACCTCTAAAATATATGTTTTTAAAAATGTGTGCTACAGACTAGAATAAAATTATTACTTGGATTTGCTCCACTGTCTCTAAATTAGATGACTGTCAAAATGATGATGCATTTTTGAGAGCTTGAGCTCTTCTAGCAATTGTGGTGGGTATACTAGCCCTTTAAAAAAAAAAAAGTCAGAACGGGAAGAAAAACAAATGCCCCCTGTCATCCAGAACTTCCTAGTTCAGCTTTCAATCACTGAAATGCCAGAGACAGCTAAACATTAACCATCACACCTTTTCAGCTTAAAATATGCTACTTGGGACCCCACAATTATAAATTTAGTAAAAGATGTATTTTTACCCAGAAAGGCCTTTGAGTTTAGATTGTAGAATATCCAGCTGGACTGAAGTTACAGGCTTTCCTATACCTAGCACATACCCTCGCAGTCCTATCAGCTCTGAGTACGGGAGACTCATTGGGAGAGTAATCCTAAGTCTGGGAGCCAGGGCAGGAAGCCAAGGTCTGGGACCCCAGAGTTTCCCGCCTGCCACACACACACACCCCGACATCCTCAGAGTCAGTGAAAACAAATAACATGAACTGGAAACGCAGCAGGCATAGCCACGGAAAGAAAACACTTCACGTGGTTTAGAACCTCAGACAACCCTCTGTGAAATCTAATTTCGAAGACAGAAGTGTCTTGGATCATTACGATTTCCAAGAGTCCTGTCTTTGGGTCCACCCAGGTAAACTTACCCATTTTTAGAGCATCCTCCCACCACTGTGCTCTCACCTTCCTGATCAGTAACCTCCAGCTAAAAGCACTTTCTGAAGGTCAAACCTCACCAATAACTGGCCCACCACCCCAAGTGTTTTGCTCGACCTGTTCCAAGCTAAGTTCTTACGTTCCCTTATTCCCTCACCAAGCCCTTTTCTCCACCATTTATCCACCCTAAATGTCTCTCAGAACCTCCACCTTAGTCCCTATCCCTAGGCCTGTTTCCTCCCCACTACATAGTCCTAAAAAACCCTAGTTAGGCTGTGGACAGCTGTAGCCACCTCTTCACATGCATTACTGCCACTGGCCACACCCCTCAGACAAGCGCATCCTCGAACTGCCAGTGTTGTCTTCCTAAGAGACAACCTCCATGGAATCCTAAGCCCTGTGACTCAAGCCCAGCACATTAGCCGAGGTCTCTTCAGCTGCTGACTCCTGGTCTTCCCTCGCCCCAACACAATCCCTCAAGATACCAACCCCACAGGGAGCTTCCCAGCCTTCCCCCACAACATCCTCACCACTTTTGCGCCTGCTGTGCCTTGGCCTGGAGTGCCCTAACACAGCCTTCTTACCCTAATAAACACATTTCTTCATTCCAAACCTCCATCTAAAGAATCTCGCCATGCTGACCCTGCCCCAGGCACAGTGAGTGGGGGCTCCTCTGTCTCCCCAGCACCAATCACCTCCATGCCCCTGCCCCGTGACACTGGAATTGCCTGCTTGCTTGCTCCACCCACAGCCCTGGGGCATGTCTGGAGACAGGAGCTGAGTCTGTCACTCTCTGTCCTTAGCTTCTGACCTGGCTCTTGGCCCGCAGTAGGTACAAAGAGAAGCTGTGCATGAGTAGGAAGGGAGCAGCAGGCTGGCGGGTAGTGTTATGAAGGAGGTGACAGAATAAAGCGTTTTAGGGCAGACCTGGTTTCAGTCACGTTCACTTGGCCCTCACACCCTGAGGCGGGCTCCCACTGAGTGGCTGCAGCCTGACTTTCAGCCTCCCAGTCCTACTGCTGCTTTGGCCAAAGGTCAGCTAGAACATTTGTAGCAGCCACAGGAAAGTGGGTGCGAAATTGGTGTGTAAATATTAGGCACGGTGTCCTAAAGAGGGAAAATCCAAGCTGTTTATTGAAACTACCAGAGAGCCAACTATCAACAATTTATAAATTTTGCCTGGGAAATTATTTTGCCTGTCCTGCTTCCCTTTGGGTTGTTTCTGAGCTTAATAAAAGAACACAGTTTCGCAGCCCTAGAGCCTCAATGCAGACTACTCTTGAGAAGCAATGATTTTAACAGGATTTTTATTATTTATTTTTACTCTGGAAATATATAAAAACAGAGAACAGGAAACTAAGTACCCCAAGCTTGCTCATCTACATGTACTTTCCTACCAACCTTTATTCCCCTTTGCATAGGATTTGCTTTTGTTTTGTACAGTTAAATATGTGCCACATAAGTAATTTTATAGGCTTCTTCCTTCCTCTCCCCACTTCTTCTAAGCATTTAAGAAGTACTGTTCTAGTGTGGAGGGGGAAATGCACTGCACTCTGGTGATGGCACACGGGTGATTTGGTGATGGAAAGCCCACAGGGATTACAACTGAGATGCAAAAAGGCACAAAATGATGTAAAAGTAAGCTTTACATTATTTTTTTTAAAATACTGTTCTAAACAAATCTTAGAAATAGGACTGCAGAATTGAGGCTACTAGAAGAAGGAAGAGTGGCGAGACAAAGGGGGCCATGTGCCTAGGGTGAAAGGACTGTGGGTACATTGTTGGGGGTGGTGTGACATACACCTGCGGAGGTGTGAACCCCCAAATCATACCCTTGCTCTAAGTCAAACTTACCTCCGTAAAAAAGGAGAAATGAATCTGCCCTTACAGCTACAACTGAGGATGATGCTGCATTACCTACCATGACTTCACTTTTCCCTTCTTTTTAAAACCTCACATCAGTTCATTGAATTATTTGATCCCTTGCCTTCTTAAAAAATAATAAATAAAAATGGTATTCTGTAGTTTTCATCACCACAATTTTCAATGACTCGGTCATGTTTCTGGACTGACTATATAGCCTAATCTGCTTCATCATTCATGTCATTTTGGATTTTTAGGTTGTTTCAGATTTTTCTCTATAAAAGAGCTGTGGGGAACACTTTTGCATACCTCTGTCCATATTCACGATCGGGTCTTTAAGGAAATAATAACAACCTGCATATGGGTACTGTGCTAGCCAACATGGTTATCTCATTTGATCTTTGTAGCAATCTCATGGGTGGCTCATTTTACTATCTCCATTTTACAGATGAGAACACAGGCAAGGCGAATGAATTTCCTTGCTCGAAGTAAGTGGCAGGGTCTGATTGAACCCAGGAAGTCTGGGTCTAAATTCAACCTCAGGACGACAGCACCTGGTTCAAAGGCTTATTTAAAGGACTGAACCCAAAGGAAGAAATTTAAAAATAAAGCTCATTCCAAATCTGCCCATTTTCACTTTGTTTCTCAGATATGTCTACTTCTCTCATGTTATTTCAATGGGGAGCACATAGAAAAATCTCCAAATGAAACTGACCTTGAAGAAGCTGCTTCAGCCACTCTCCTTGTGAAGCAAAATCAAGTTTTCCAAGAGAACCTGAGGAATGTTTTCAGTTTAGCAAGATTAGAATAACTACATTTATGTCTTTCTGCTGCTTTTGCTATTTTTAACAGACAGTGCCAACATGTTCTTAAGTTCTGTGCCATTTCCACCTACGTCCCTGCAGTGTCTTGGTGGTGTTATTTTTCCAAGAAACCGTGCCACCGTGCACTCACTCGAGCTGCTCTGCAAGGGGAGGCGAAGCCATGCTTATCTGGGGTCTGTGCTCCACTGCAAAGATGCTCGTTCTGCTACACAGCTCATGATCGCTCAGACTTCCACTGCTGTTAGGAGTGCCACATTGAAATAGCCAGGCAGGGCCCTCCGTGGAGGCACAACTGGTTAAAGTGCAGCACTACAAAGCTAGCCACAGCCACCATTTCAGTGCAGTTTTGATCCCCAGCCCTGGAGCTGACCCACATGGCACAGCAGACCTCTCCTGTCTCACCCGCTGCTCCCCTCAGCAGTGTACTTCATCAGTCTGCCTGTTCTGCTCCCCACTCTGT